CCAGTTTCTGTTGAAAACTTGTCTCTGATCTTGTCACTCTTTTAAAATGCTCCCAATCCACTGCTTCTCTTTTCAGCTGCCTGAAAGGCCCTGTAAGACCTCAAAAACCCTCCCCCGCGATGCCTTGCTCTACTCCGCGTGCGCTGCTTGGCCAGCTTTCCCCTCTGCTTCCCGGCAGGCTGCATCGCCTGTAGGCCTGCTAGACCTTCGTGGGCAGCAGGGACCCAGCCTGCTCTGGCACTCACTTCTCCCTTCCTCACGTCTCCTTTAGACATGTGTTCTCTGACATCTTCCCTGTCCACTGTAAAATAGTTCCTTGTTTCCCACTCCTCCCCATTCCAATATTCTGCTAACCTGCTGTATTTTTCCCCCACAGCAATTATTACACAAAATATTGCATTAATATGACATCACATATGCCAATATACACACTATACAACATACTATACAAATAGCATTAATTCTGTATTAATAGATAAAATGTAACCATTATTTCCTTACTTGTATCGCTCAAGAACTATTTTGTTTATTGAGTATGTGCCTCAGGAAATGATTTTATTTTGGTGTATAGTCATTACCCATCTCCTGGATCAGGACCTTGTGCAAAGTAGCAGCTCAATTTCAATGAATAAATATTTGTATGAATGAATGAGAGAAACTTCACTTACTTTTTGCTATATTTTTCTGTCACTCTGGCCAAGTTTATATGCATGTTACAGAAATTATTATAGGACAGTATATTCATAAGGATATGTGGTTAAACTTATGTATAAATCACCTGCTATTAAACTGATTAACTTTTTATAAGCAGCTCCATTCCCCCTTATTATTTGATGATTTAAATTAGTTAAATTAGTGAAATCTTTGGTACTATTTAAGTTGGGATACAATGTAAAGTTAGTAGATTCCTAATTCTTTTGACTGGAACCACAAATCTCACGCAACAATTTAATGTATAACGTAAGTGTTTTGAAAACTTAGCTTTTTCTCTTTTATTCTATTTTTTGGTTTTCTTTTGTTTTATCTCCAGTACCGGCAATCGAACTCACAGCCTTGTGCTTGCCAGGCAGGCGTTGTGCTGCTGAGCTAAATCCCCAGCCCTCTATTTTTATATTTAAATAATGTCCCCCCAAAACACACTACATTGATATTTTTAAAAATTTGTACATTTTTTGTTTTCTTGAACTTGTTTGACAAATTAATTGTAAATTATTATACTATAATACCAATATTATGATTCTACAAAAAAAGACCGCAATCTTTTAAAGTTGTTCCTAATTTTGTATACCTAAAATATAGACAAGTAACTTTACAGTTAATTATTGTTAACATTTAATAATGCATTAACGTTTGTAGCCTTAATTTTTTTTTCATTTTTTGGTGGTTCTGGGGATTGAACCCGGCAACGATAGTACTAATTTTTAAAACGTGCCTTCAGAGAATGGATAAAGAAGAAAGGCATTTGCTAATTCTCTATTTAACCAACCATGATAACTACATTGATTTTATAACCCAATTTTTTGCCATCAGTTTTGACCTACAGTTTAAAAACCTTATTACAGAGTACACGCTTGATAAAAAAGATTCTCAATGAACTGGCATTGACGCCATCAAGGAACATTTAAAAACAAACAAGTGAACAAAAACCACAAACTAATGGCCCTGCACTGTAGATCTGCCTAAACTCCTGTTTGATGAGTTCACAGCCTGTTTCTTCTGCCACCCAAAGCCTTCTCAATCTGCATTTTTAGTCCTGTCCATCACTAGTATTTGCGATTGTAGGTTTTACGCAGCAATTTAGCTGTTATGTTACTCAATCAATTAAAAAGGTAAGTTATTTTGTAGATATATTTGTCATATTTAATTTAATCCATTGAGTTCATGCAAAGATTATTCTGGATAATATGGGTGAGCCTGATCTAAACAATTAAAAATGGGCTATGAACAGAACTTAGACTGATCAGTTTCCCTAAGGAAGAAGAAACTCCACCTGTGGACTGCAGGGCCAGCTCCTGCCAACTGTGCCCAGCTGGGCCTTCCTGATGGCAGATTTTCCCACAGTCATCTTGTCTTCCCAAATCAACGAGATACTTGGCAATCAATCAACTCATGTGCATGTGCGTGTGTGCGTGTATGCATGCGTGTGTGTGTGTGTATGTATGTTCATCACACTAGTTCTATTTCTTGAGTGGATCTTGGGCTGAGAAAGCACTTTATTATCCTTAGTAATTCAAGGTCTGGCTAAGTTCTTGCCATGTTGTTTTGGGCATTATGCTTTACTGCGTCTGTGCCTGTTAGCTCTGCCCCCATACCTCTTGGTGCAAAACGGTCACCAGACCCTTTGTTTCAGGCCTGGGAGACCCTGTTACACCTCCACATTCATAAGAGGATGACTCAGAAGTCTATGAATTTCTACATCTTTAACTGCAGAATGGCGCAGAACATGCTGTGCCTTTAATATTAATTTTATGATATTTCTTATGCTAATAAGCTGCAAAAAACTTTAAGCAGTATACCATGAAGCACTGAAATGTTGTCAGCCTTCAGCAGACCTCCAGCAACACCACCTTCGACAAAGCAGCCACTTAATGAATGAATGCACAGGTGTTACTGGTACAGACTTAAAAAAAAAAAAAAGCAAAGCTTTGAGGTCAAACAGATCTCAAATTTTTAGTTTAACTCTGTCTTTACTAAATTTGTAAGAATAGATAAATCATGTACTCTTTCAGCTTTACCCATTTCTTATAGGGAAGTGGCTATGACATTTTTATCTGTTGTACTAAGTTACGGAAAACACTGAAGCAATGTAAAACGTACACCACTATAGTATTTGCTATATATTTGGACTCAGTGAAATGTAACTAATTTTTTGTTATGTTAGAAATAATATTCTGCATAAATTCGTCAAGTATATGTATTGAACACCTACTATCAGACAAGTACTTTGGTAAATTATCAAAAGATAAATTAATGATTGCTATGATTTACTGAGCAGTTAGTTTATTTTAGATATTGTTCTAAAACTTTATCTTTGTTAAGTCTATAGCAACTCCAGTGAGAAATTACTATCATTATCCCTAATTGTGGATGAATAGTCATACATAAAGAATGTTAAGTAATTTTCCCAAAGACATACAACAAAAAGTATTAGGGCCCGGGATACAAGCCAAGATGGCCTAGTTTTATAGTTCATATTTTGTTGTTGTTGTGCTAAACTACTTCCTATGGACATGGATTTGGAATTCAACATTCTCTATGAATACAGAAAATCTTCAAAATAACTCTGCTAAAAGGTTAAACTACAAAGTGCCACAAAGAAAAGGATTTTAAAAATGTTCTTAAAAATTGCTTCCTATTTGTACACATGATATATATTATTACACACAAGACCGTATTAAAATGGACAAAACTAAGCAGTCCTTCCGGATTTTTCTGACCCATAGAGAAAGATGCTTCTGAACTCTCTAACTAGTGTAATGTATTTCACAATTATGTACCTTGACTTAGCACAAACCACTTGTCCACACAGGAAAACAGGTCTCCATTGTCACGTTAACCTTCAGAATTAACAATTAAGTTCATTCTAATTACAATGTAATCTTTTGCTCCTTTATAAACCAAACTTTCAAAATGAGATACTGAAATCACACAAAATAAATGATCTTTGGTGTTTTCATTTGAAGTATATAATTCCATTATGACTATCAAATCATGTAATTTAAAATAACAGTAGCTTTCTAGAGTAAATTTTTTCTCTAAAAAATTTTGTTTGTTAGTAGCTAAAATGCAAAATATCTGTGGAAAAGAAAGATAAGAGGAACTTGGTATAATTCACTGAACTTTTTATGGTAAATCATACCACTCAATCTTCATGTTAACTTTACAGGAAAAGCCATAAATGTTGCAATGATTTCAAAAATATTCGCTTTACAGAGAAAATATTTTAAAGCATTTTCCTTGCTACCAAATCAGTAAGAAAAAAATACAGTTGCTGTGCGCTACAGATTTCACTGTTAGCACAAGCTCTGGAAGAATTTCTTCCACACAGCCTTTTTTAATGTTTCTTCCTGCTGTTTCAGTCATAGATCTGCACTGTAGACATTCCTTATTAAACACCAGTGACTTTCTGCTCAATAAATATTTTACAATTTTTCCTGAAACAGTTCCTACATCTAATCTTATTATAACCTAATGTATAGTTTACTGATCCATAAACCTGTAAGTTGTCTTGTAAAAATAGTGCAACTCTGTGCTTCCCGTGTGGTCTCGACAGTTCTGCTGCTTAAATTTGACCAGTCTCATAATCCCCATCCCAACTCTTTCAAATTTCCCCATTATCTCTTTCAAATTTTTGACTCAGATTTTTCTAAAATCTATTTGAGGTTTGGTGTTGCCTAACCACAAAAATCACACCTCTCTTCAATGTCCAGTTTGTAAATTGTAATCATTCGTCTATTTCCAACACTAATACATCAAAATTTTAAAGACATGAGTGAAACGTTTGTGCCCCTTGCTTAGCATGCACTACTTGGAACAAATAACAAAAGTGAACTTTTTTTATATTTCCAAAAGCTTAAATTTCTGTTTTCTTGGGTGATGGTTACATTTGTTAAAATTGTAGTTCATTTTCACATTAATTTTTAGTTTTAAACTGTAATGCAGCATTAACATGTTTTTAAAGGATGTTAATGTGTTAGCTGTTTAATTTTCCACAGGAAATGATACCACAAATAATCTGAACAACAGCCAAAATTATCTGAAAAAGTAATGCATGTAATGTACAACTTAAACAGAAATTTAAAATGAAAACAATTTTTAAAGGAGTAATCTATTTGGAGAGAAAATTTCTTATATTCTATACTATTAAATTATTTAATTTCCACAGAGTTTTTCAGCATTCACTTACCAAAAAAGGTCAATGCTTAAACAATCTAAGAATAACTTTAGTTAGTAATAATACTACAGCACAATAAAACTAATATCATAAGAACTCTTTTTACCTTTGCATTATAGGGAATGTAATGTTTTGATAAAGCTTCAGGTGTGTGCATCCATGTTTTGTCTGTAAGGAAGAATACACAACATTAAATCACAGGTGAGTACGGTGTTATTGTCACGCATTAGCATTTGTACGGAGTCTGGGTGGGCTGGGGCATTTCAAGTTCCAACATTCTTCTGCTACATTAAGGCAGAGCAACACTTACAGTCAGATAGAAGAACAATGTAGCTGGAGACTGATTATAGGAATCTTTCCTTGATATAAAAGTCCCTCAACTTTTATATAAATTGTTTTAAATAATACAATTATACTGAGATTTTAAAGAATAGATAAAAATACCAACATCAGTGGACTCTGAATAATATCTACTATGCAATTAAAGATAATTATCTTCTTTCTTTCACTTTATGCCCTCATTAATTACAGGTTCTTTCTCTTAGTTCATATAACAAAAAAGTATTTTTTTCTCACTGGTTATTCTTAGCATCAAGGAAAAAAATTACATTAAGCTAACTTTGTATTTCTACGAAACTGAAAAAAAACTCAGTCTACTATGTTCAGTAAGAAATCAATATGTACACAAAATAAAAATAAAAGGAAATCAATATAACTTTAGGATAATCTTTATTCTAAATTTAGAGAAATATTGACTGAAAGTCTACTATGAGTTTTTATTTTTTATTTTTTATTTTTTTTTGTTTTTGTTTTTTTTTTTGGTTTTTCTCCGGTACCGGGAACCGAACTCACGACCTTGCGCTTGCCAGGCAGGCGCTTTGCCGCTGAGCTAAATCCCCAGCCCCCTATGAGTTTTTAATATATACAATTTTAAATGAATTATTAGACAATGTTTCTTAGATAAATATAATAAAATAGAAATAAATGCACCTCAAATGTATAGATCTTGAAACTAACTTAACTGTATATGATTTGCATTTTGTTTCCATATTTTAATTATTTATATTTTCATTCAATTTTTGAACTTCATTCCTATATTGACAATGATATTTTATGTATGAATTTTTGATTTTTGATTAATTATTATTGAGATGGGTTTTTACTTCTTGATAAGATTTGATTTCTGTAGGGTGTGGCTGAGGTGGAGACTGATCACACATGCAGGGTTAGAACAAAGGCAGCCCAGAGAATATGGAGTCGGACAAACAAGTTGTTAGGCAGGTCCTTCCTCTCCCAGTAGGAGATGGGTTTCACCTGTCTTCAACCTCTGGCTGATGGTGTAAATAAACTCATTGCAGTGCTTGGGCAGTTCCTTTCTCCCATCAGGAGAAGGGGCTCCACCTGACCTCAGCTTTGTGCATTTCTGACTCTTGTCTTCATTTCTTCATCCTTCATCGTGCCCCCCTGGGAATTTCAAGAGCTGCACTGGACACTGCAGATTTCTATGGTTTTTCATCTTGCTTATAACAGTTATGAGTGCTAGTTATAGTGATATGATTAGTTTAAGAATAATTTGTATAGAGTTGGAATAGTCCTGTATATATCTATATCTATATCTGTATCATCTATATCTATATATGAAGTAAAACACAATATTGTACACCAAACTATAAAAACACTAAATATTTTCCTTTAGTAAATGTAAAAAGAGAAACAATTTCCCTTTTATTCAATTCTCATATCTTCTTTCCTAAATATGCACCATCTCTAAGGAAGATGTAAAGTCTGACTAAAGTCTGAATATGATGTGTCATACCAGTTCTGAGGCAGATAATTACTTTCCTCTGTAAGCCACTATTATTGGAAAACTGGTGATATTGCTTCTGCTATAGTTTCATATTGCAGTGACCTAGAAAGAGGATAGGTGTATCTAGCTGTTTCTGGTGACAGATCAAAATAAGTGCAATATTAAATTACCATCGGGTAAGCTGCAGTTGCAACAATAACACAAACAGGCAATCACAGAACATTAAATACAAATGTTCTAGGGCTGTGCATTAAATAACATCTATTATAGGTAGTATCCTTATAAGCCTGAAGAATTTCCAGAATAAATGCTTAGTGTCATCTGAATTTATACTGTGATAAAAGAAAAAAGCCACAGAGTAAAAGTTCTGGTCACATACATGCACTTAGAACTAGAGAAGCAAATAGAGATGCTGTACCTCAGTCACTAATTGTGCTCACAGAAGCAATTAGGTAAACAGAACTGGCATAGAAATAAGAGTACAGGCATTCTAGATTCCCTTTCCTTAAAATTAAAGTCACTACCTCAATACTGAACACTCACATGACAGGAAATGCCAATATTTCAACATGTTTTATAAATGTCAAGCCACAGTGACCACTGATCAATAAATTGAGGTTTCTGAAATATATTTAATTAAGAGCTCATCAGACAGAAGCAGTAACTTCATTATTACCTAAACTTAGCATAATAAAAGCACCTGTTTTGAATACGCTGTTCTATGAACTGCGGGATGATTCTCATAAAAAAGAAAATAATTCTTAAAATAGTGAATTTAAGTCTTATGCATTAAGATTATAGTTGCCCATGAATATGCCAAGTGATAAGTTAAAGAATATGGAATGTAACTCATAGAATTATTTAATTATACTTTTTCAGATGATACTTTAATGCTTTTTACTAAATTATTTATTTTAAAATAATAAATAGATGTAGGATTTTCAAAGTTCAGAGAGAACGCTCACATAATCTGTAAAACAAATCCAATCATTCTAACTAAATCTATGATTATGTTAGACTAACCATTAAAGAGCTCTTCAAAATAGCTCAAAACAATGCAAATTCTATTTATTCAGTATTTTCCATAATTACTGAGCAATTGCAATACCATTAAAACATTTGCAAAGAAATAATTAGAATCTGGCTTATTCAATCAAAGGATACCATAATACTAATTTACAGATTTTAATTTACAAAAAAAAATTTGTTTACATTTACATTTAAGTTTAAGATGATAATCTCTCTTCCTCAGGCTTCTGAGGCATTTAATAGGACTGCATGTAATGATCAAGTAAACTTGAGCTCTATAATATAAAATATAAAGTTTTACTGATAGAAAACCATTGTAGTTTGTTCATAATACTAAATAATATATATATACTAGCTACAGAAGAAAATAGCACTTGAATTATATATTCTTTTATAGATCTAGATTGCTAGAATCTATGAATGCTTTCATAAAATTCAAGTTACTATCTGAAATTAAAATTCAATTAAATAGTGCTATTGGTGAAAACCCAGAACAGAGGCTCTAAGAATTCTTACTTTAACCAGTGCGAGTCAGAACTAATAGGCATTTGCAGAACTTCGCATATCAAGTCTAGTGGGACTTGAAGCAAAATATTGACCAATAAATTCTTGATAAAGACATTTTATGGCTAGACTGCAAAAATAAGGTGAAGGAAATTAAAAAAGAATGAGATAATGACTAACGGTTCTACTTCCTGGTTCACCAAATCATTGCAAGTTTCCCCCAAAGTTGTCCTTTCACTGTACACAAAAAGCACAGACACGGAACCATTGGTCACCTGTGCAATCATCCAGTCCTGGAAATTTGTCACCCTCCTTCAAACAAATGCTAAGTAAAATGTCGTTTAAATTTTAAAGGCTTTGGAAAGGGAATCGTAAGAATCACACATATACACACACATACGTCAGTGGTCTTCAGAAATTATTTTTTTAAAAGTAAGATAATGCGATTCAAGGGATAAGTTGTGATGTAAGGTACTATTACTTTACTGAAAATATATCAGGATGGTTTCTAGACATTTTTACTTGCCAAAGGATAAAACAAATTGTTTTGTTTTTGATATATTTTAAAGCAGAAACAAGCCACAGACTCGAAACAATTTCATTTTGTTTCCCTTTACTGAGAAAAATAAAGAAAATAATGTACTTCTAACTTCACAGGCTTGAAAAGCATCACCAAAGTCACATTATCTAAATCCCTACTGAATACATCAATTTTCGGTTCCACATACAACTCTCTGGACCCCTCTGACTCCAGTCATGGAAAGTTATTAATGCAAGTAATTCCATTTTACTTTTACACAACTCTGTCGTAATGTTTTCTCCTACATTAAATCAATGACCGTATAATTTGCACTTATTTGTCCTTTATTAGACTAAACCCCAGGGCTAAATGGAGCCTCTTCAAACACTGAAAAGCAGCTCTCACTACATGCCTACCATCCTCGGTTGTGCTTCCTGCTGCCTTGAAAGTTTCCCAGCTTTTCTCATCTGGGAAAGCTATAATGCATCCGTCTTAACCCTTTAAACCTTTTAAAGAGATAATGCACTATGCCGGGCTGCGCAGGAGAGAACTGAACACTCTGGTTCCCGTCCTGGACTGTTCACTGCTCACATATCAAAAGGATGAACTACAGCTTTTGGTCATCACACTTGACTTCATTACTAGGCCACTGCTTACCCACATACCACTGAAGGTACATCTTCCAAAGAACAACACAATCAATAATTACATGATATATTAAAAAATAACCAGACTTTCTTGACCTTTGTTGAGCAGTTTACAATATCATAGTAAATCTATAGCATGAAATAAGACCTAACTGGGGCTGGGGATACAGCTCAGTGGCACAGCGCCTGCCTGGCAAATGCAAGGTCCTGAGTTTGATTCCTAGTACCAAAATAAATAAATAAATAATAAAAAATAAAAACCAGATCTAACTGTATGGCTAACAGATCGATAACCTACGCGTTCAATCGTCTATGAATCGGATTCGCATTGCCTAAGTATGCTTTCCCAATTCACTGACAGCATGTTAAGTAGGAGAGAGCCCTCTGTCCTCCACTGAAGAACTTCTAGAATGAAAAGAGTGCATTATTTTATCTTCAGTTAACTAGACAACACTATGAAATATTTATTTCCTATGAACACACCAAAAAATACTATGTCAACTGCAATGTTTTCCTGCGTTTGTAAAACAGCATTTAAACTGCCTGTTGATTGTCATCCTTTACCAGAGATTATAATGCATTGAATCTAGCTTTCTTCTAAATTTTTACCTGGATATTAATAATGAATTTGTTTTGGAATCACTGCTATGACTCTACTTATCACCAATTCTTTTATATTCTTCAATAATATGTGAAATGTGTGTGTGCTCACATGTACACAGGTACACACACACACACATACACACATGAATTTATATACTCAACCTTATATTACCCCGGGAAATTTAGTAATACATAGCGACATAAACCACAGTTAGGCCTAGGTTTCGGATCATTTTACTCTTTGAAATTTCTTAACATAGCATAAAATTGCAGGGGAACATATTGTCACAGGCATATTGTGAGCTAATTAGCAATAGCTGTATATTTTAATTGATCTAATTTAACTTTATTCCTGAGTGCTGTGGTTTGAAAATAGAAAAGGGTGATTTCTTAACACCTCTGCTTTATTTTCATGATAATATCGACTTGATTCCCAGGTTCTCTAAAATGAGCACACTTACCTTTCTTCCTGCTAAAAGCACGGTTCATGATGACAGTCTGCCAAGTCTATGCTCAGTTCTGTCACCCTTTATACCCTACAGAAATAACAAAGTATTAGAACACAAATGAAGGACCGTTGCACAAGCTCTTGTGTTAATACATTTTAAAGAGAAAGCCTTTTTAAATATTTACAAGCTATATTCTAAAATATCCCAACAACACTGGGTAAGAATAAACATAGGACTGACACTGTGTATCAACTAAAACTCCTCCAAACTTTTTTACTTTTACCTCTTTCCTATTATGCATCCATAATTAATTATATTTATCTGAAAAGCTGAGAAGAAAGAAGGTCAGTACTTTCCTCGGAGCTTACTGGGAAGAAATGTGGTTGCATTTGGGGTTCTCATGAGCACCAGTGGTAGATAAAGTGAAGCTATTTGATCATGCCTTTAGGAACAAAATCACTTTTATAAATCCACTCACATATATAAACATTTATTTTTATTTAACTGAGGCCCATATAGGTTTCACGACTACTACAAAATCACAGAGGCAGGTGACAGACACACTAGTAATAGTGGTCAGAAACAGAATAGGGTATTTCCCACTTACAGGTGCTTTCCATAAGTGCTGAGTGTAGGAAGTATGAGCTACTGTCCCTGTGTCAGATATAGCACGCAGTTCCAAGCTTGTATTCCTTTTTCATAGCAATTACTTGCCCCGGAAAGAGGTTTTGTAACTAACTACTCATTTTCTGCTTTAGTCCGCTGTGAATGCTGCTCACCAAAACTAGGAGCTTGGTTTACGGACTGTACTTTCTATATAGTGGTTGTTCATTGGAGACATTTTCAATTCTATTTGTAAAATACTTTCATGTAAAAAACAAATGACTCCTACAGCATTCCCTCAGAAACTCTGAGATGATTCATATTAGGAAGTTGAGATGAAACGTTTATGGATGCTGCCTTGAAGTCTCTATTTGGGGTCCATGAACGTGTCAGTGTCAGTGATCAAACTGGCAGAAGCTGCTTGTTTGCTTCTCTGGCAAATAAACATTCTCAGACTGACAGCAAACCGCCTCGCGCCTCCACCTTCTCTCCCATCAGGACGAGTGTCACAGGCACTATCTATGGTAAGCCAAAGACCTTTTAAATGTAAAAATACTAAATTAAAAAAGTCTCATATTATGAATTGTGTTTTCTCACTTTTCAGGATGATTTCAACCATATTAAATAAAAATGTATTTAATAATCTGATCTACTTCTATGACGTTACAAGAACCTGTTTTAACAGGAATCAAAGGAAATCCATACGCCTAGTGTAAGAGCACAGTTCTGGGGGCTTCCATTTGCAGACGATCAGAGAGGGGCTGAATTTAGGGTGCAGCCTTCCCCGCACCCTGCCTACTGCTGTCTGTGAGCTTCAGGTGGACGAGAGGATGGAGACTGAGAGCCACACATGGACCTGGGGACACCCTCCCCATCCCACTGAGGGACACAGATTTACCATCACCTCTGCTAGAGACTGAGGTCAAGGTGCAGAGTCCGTGATTTCTCCGTGTCGCTCAAACCCGGAAGCCAAGTCTTCATTACTCAACCTGTAACCCCCGTGCACTGCTGCCTGTAACCACTCCTCCCCGCTCCCCTGCTGGGAACATTTCTCAGTGTCATCTGGCATTCAGGGTCTGTCATTATCATAATGTCCTCCACTTTTTTCAAGGTTCCTCTGCACTGCTGGTGTTGATGAAACCCAGCTGTGATCTGAGGAGAGGTTACTGTCTTCCCCCTACATACTCCACTGGACCAAGAAAGGATGTGGCTCTCCATTATTGTAACGGTTTTCTCTTTCAAACCCTGATGCAGGGCTGGGAATATAGCTCAGCGGCACAAGTGCCTGCCTGGCAAGCGCAAGGTCCTCAGTTCGATTCCCGGTACCAAAACGAAACAAAACAAAAAATCAAACCCTGATGTCTTGGAAGATTATGCCACCAGGCATGCGCGCGCACACACACACACACGCACACGCATATTATCTTTGCTACTTTTCTCTCGTTGCTGAAACAAAATACTTGATACCCAAAATTAAGGAAGGAAAGGTTTATTTAGCTCAGTTTGTGGAGGCTTCAGTCCATACTCAGCTGGCTCCAAGGCAGGGTGGGCACCTGGCAGACAGCAACCTTTCATGGTGGTGGAAGACAGCAAAAGCAACAAGAGCACAAGGGGAGGAGTCTAGCAGCCAAGCCACCTCTTTCCCTCTCTTACACTGTATGCAAACTACCTGCCCCAGGGTGGGTGTAGCATTCACACCCATGAATCAATCAGAAACTCTAGAAGCCTGTCCCATGACTGCATGAGGTTTTGCGAGGAAAGCCAGACACAAACCACAAAACACACACACACACACACACACACACACACACACACATGACTATAATACAATAGGGAGCATACTATGCTCTGAACACCGTAGAAGTTACTTTTCACTCATAACCTAACAGACATAGTTATTTATTGATATATTTTGGAAGAAAAAGGGAAAACAACAACAACAAAAAATGAAAGAGAAAAATGTTGTAAGTTGCAATTTCTATAAGAAATTAAATAACTAAATACTAGGAAGTTTATTAACCAGCAGATCAAATTTAATATACGTTTCCACTACTCGAATTCCGCACCTGTGAGGCATTTTCAACAACAGACGGTGAAATAGGAAAAAGGAGTTTAACTCTTATAATTTGAACATTCATGCAATTAAATAATAATGTGGCTTTTAAATTAAAAACAATACAATTTAAATTACTCAGGGACATATAAAGAGAAAAAAACAGCAAAATTGTATAACATTTGTAGGTCCCAAAAGGGAGGTTATAAAATGACATAACATCATTATGACTGTAAAATACAAAAAGGACTTTCACTGCTCACAAAATGCAAACATACAAATGTCAATTAATATCAAATAAGCCACTTAGCTAAAATAACCTACGATTTCACTCTCAGACATCATCCATTGATGGCACTCTATACTTGCTTGTAAAACACCTTACTACCCAATTAGAAAACAAGCATACACTGCTCCATTGCGTGTTACACAGTGCCTAATGCTAGCCTGGGTTTCAATATACTGTGTATTTATATGATGCATGATAATACACACTTAAATGTAACCTACTCCTATTGTTGAGATAATAAAGTATAGTCATAAATTTAATATGTTTAATTATAAGTTCTATATGCAAGTGAACTATTTCACTTCGCAGTGTAATATAAGTCTTTTCTTTTGCATAAATTTTCCATAAGTACTTTCAGTGACTGTAATCACATGGATGCATTATTTCTTTATAAATAAACACTTCTAAATTTTAGCTAAACATATAAATAATTGTTTATGTAACATTTTATTTTTTATTAATTTTTCCCCAAAATGTAGCATGGTGCAGTATATTTTACTAGATCTAAATTATCACTACTTTAGGTTTTCTATTTTAAACTTAAAACAAGTTGTAATAGCACATGATTATCTCTTATATATAAGAATACACAGTTCAATTTACACTCTCTAAGATGTAATATTGAATAATGAATATGTATTCTGTACTTATTATATTTATTTTTTTTAAACATAAAACTTTGGGACATAATGATATATGATATGATATGAGAACTTAGACTAATTTCCTCAATGGTATTTTTTTTAAGAAGAACCACTGTCTTTCAATATATACTTCAAACTTACTCTGAAATTCATATGGATACCTTTCCATATTACATATTGCTATCATCTTATTTAGACACGTCTGCTTCTGGCCAAGATGAAATAACAAAGGCTAGATTTATCTTATCACCAAAAACACCTTAAAAGCAAGAAAAATGAATCAAACAATGACTTCATTTGCAACAAAAGACATTACTCCATGGGAGATGAGAAACAAACGAAGTAAGCCCTATGATTTCCCAGCACACTGTCTGGAGAATTTCCCACACTACAGCCCGGGGAAGTAGAACTCAGTCAGATTCCAACCATCTCTCGGAGGTGATGAGACATCTTTGAAAATGCAGCAGAATCAAAATATGTAGTGTTTATACCAGCTGCGCCAGGGAGAAGAAGGCTACTTACTGAGAAATAATGAGAGATACCTGCAGAAGATCTTTGACACCTGAGTACTAATGAACTACCGGATGCCTGGACAGAGGCCAACAATGTGAAAGGAGGTTCCATAATGCACAGGACAACAATTAGATTACTATGAAATACCCACTTTACTAATGGGGAAAGATTAAAGGTGGAATAAATGGTGCTTTGGTATTACCTAACAAATCTTTAAAATAATTGGGTCCAAGCCAGGTCCAGTGTGATCAAGTTGGGTCACACTGTTTCCAAGCAACTACACTGCATCTCAAAACTATCCTCAATAATATTAAAATGTATGAAAAAATAATCAGAAGCTGGAACCCACAATGTCCAGCATCCATCTCCAATTAAAAAAATATCTAGCATACAAAAAGTAGAAAAATATAGCCTATGGGGAGGAGAAAAATCAATCAAATCTTACTCAGAACTGACAAAGATAGTAAAAATAATAAACAAGGACATTTAAATATATTTATATGTTCAAGAAGCTAGACAATAGATTAAAATATATGTGTGTGTATCAAATTAACCTAAATCAAATTTATAGAAATGAAAGTCAAAATGTGTGAGATACAGAAATACAGTACATGTGGAATTAATGGCAGATATGACATTAGAGGAAAAAAAAAAAAACAAGTAAAATTAAAGGTACACGTGTAAAAACTAGCCCAAGTTTCACAGGAAGAGAAAAGGGACTAATGTGAAAAAAGAGGAAGGGGGAGGGAAGGAAACATAGATTCCTGAACTACGAGGCAACTTCAGTAGTCCAATAGTCCCTGGAAGGGAAGAGAGAAAAGAATAAAGCAGAGATCTATTGAAATATAGGCTGAGAATTTTCCAAACTTGATGAAAATTATAGACCCAGGGAGAGAGACAGAGAGGTAGAGAGAGAGATTAAGTACAGATCTCAAAATTAGGATGGTAAAAACAGTGCAAATTAGAAGACAGAAAAGAACATCTT